TATCGTCTTGCCGCCACAGAAACAAAGCGTTACTACGTAACAACTAAACATTTAAACATTTAAATTTTCTTATAGTATTTAACCGATGGTTTTGAATATTCTTATCATTTAAATCCCCTGAAGAGTGAGCGATCACGAAACAGGCTTGTCGGGATGAAAGTGTAGTTTTTTTCTATTTTCAATACATATATATATATATCCTCTAAGTTTTGGTAGTATTACTTTATAAATACTCTCAAAGTTACAGAGGAGGCGGATCTTGCCCAATTCCCCTCTCCACAATCATGATTCTTGCATAAACTGCTTTGCTTTTATTATTATGCTACGTGCTTACGCTGACGACAGCAACATTTGTTTGTAGGCAGAGGGTAGTTGTAGTCAGTTTGGCATTCGTACGGTATATCTGGTGGACAAGGGTCGTCATAATAGACACGCACTCCGTTTGGGTAGTCGCAAGTTGGGAGATCGTTAACAAGAAATATTGCGAAATGAAAGTATGGGCACCATATTAATGCGTTTGTAGTAAAGTTCTTAAAGAATCGAGGAGTTTAACGGGATTTGCACACATGGCCACTTTCCTCTCAATGGTCTGCTACACTTTCCTTACGTGTGTACTAACCTGGATTCTTGTGAGCGTAAGCAGTGATCCCCCAAATAACCAGCAGGATGAAAAGATGAAACTTCACAGCCATGTTTGACCTGCAACAGATAAGCAAGTTGCACAGTTTTTTCCGTAGACTGCGAACAGTCTCTTTTCCTCGAAAACCGTGGGGAAGAACCTACGGATTTCGAGGAAAAGAGAGATACAACGGTCAGTCGACAATAACGAAGCGAAAAGTTACCTCACCTTCGAATATTGTCTGCCGACATCTCTGCTTATCTCTTATGTTAAAACTATTTTCAATCATTGATCTGGAAAAGTAGGCAGAAGTGGAGTACGACTGCGTCGCATTTTAACTTGTATTTTTGGGGAAATTAATACTTAATGTAAACGTGTTTTGACACTCCGAAATTTGCGCGTTCCGCAAAGTCAAATTACCAACTCGTCGTCTTCATTAACATCTTTATAACTCTTTAAGAGCTGTGAGCTAACTATTCAGTCATTGTTTATACCTTTATAACCCAAATTGACCGGCAAATTGTCGATCCCGGCCTAAATATAATTATACAACGCGGCGATCTCGACTGGCGACCCGCACTTCGAAATGGAAAAAAATATGTACTTCGCAGCCGTCCAAATCGTAGCTAGACTCCGAATTGTAATGCTAGATGATACAGTTCTTTCACTTAAATTTCTTGTCCAGTTTTGATAAAATATGAATCACAAATAACCCGAAAATGTTTTGACTGCCCTCGAAGCTCCGTCAAAAGTCTCTTGAGTGTTTTAGATGGTTCCCGAAGTGACGTCACTAGTGGCCCGACCCAGATCCCACTTTGCGCGGTCGTGAACATAGAAATTACATGTTTAAACGCCTGTAGAAACGTAGGGATTTTATCAATCGAGATAATTTTTTC